AGGATTGGGTGACAAACAAGCACACAGTCCACTTGATGGTAAGTGGTTGCTGTGACCCATAGACATCTATATCCATCCTCAATAAATAATCAAAATGCAGATGCGTCGTCACACGTGAGGACTAAGATGGAATGCCCCTTTTCCAGTAAAACGTGTCTCCGGTTCTCTACACTCACCATACGAAAAACAGCAGTGTCGAGCTGCCATTTTACGCTGGTATTCTGTGAGAGTGTGGTCCTTCCCCGGTCGAGCCGACCCATTCGTGCTAGAACTATACTACTAATATAGCTGCAGTATGGCTCTACCATGTATAAACCAACGTTACATGCTGTGTTAATAAAACCTTAACAAAGACCGTACAAAACTATCACATATGGAGATAAAACTTTCGGCTTGGCGGCTTACGGAACTCGATAATGATGGTATTGTATATTAAATGTCTGCACATGGTGTTATTTGGACACGGCGAAACAAGTATTCCGATGGTGACTTGATCCTCAGTTTTAGCATTTTGAAATACCATCGTCATCAACTGTCCGCTATAGCTATCATCAGTCTCCCTAAAAATTTACAATAGAATGAATCAATATATTGTGAAGTATTTATTTTGTTAATAAGTTATTAAAAACGATAATGTTCAGTTACTTGACAGGCAGAAATACTGGTAACTGGTAATAAACGTGGTAGAGCCATGCTGCAGCTATATTAGTAGTATAGTTGTAGCACGAATGGGTCGACTCGACCGGGGAAGGACCACGCTCTCACAGAATACCAGCGTCAAATAGCAGCTTGCTGCTGTGTTTCGTATGGTGAGTGTAGAGAACCGGAGACCCTTTTTACTGGAAAAGAGGCATTCTATCTTAGTCCTCACAGATGACAACGCATCTGCATTTTGATTCGCAGACGAGGATAGATATAGATGTCTATGGGCCACAGCAACCGCTTACCATCAGGTGGACTGTGTGCTCGTTTGTCACCCTATCCTTTAAAAAAAATACTAATTGTATTTTATTTATTTATCTATAATATAAAAATGAATCGCTGAATGTGTTGCTAAGCGCAAATCTCGAGAGCAGCTGAACCGATTTCGCTAATTCTTTTTTTATAATATTCCTTGAAGTATGAAGATGGTTCTTACGGAGAGAAAAGTTCAAAAAATTGCCTAAAAAAGTGTAAAAACAATACTTTTCTATATTCCCATACAAAAGATTCGTAATAATACTTAAAAGTCAATTTGAACTTTAATACCATACCATAAAGTTTAAGTGTTCCGGGAAGGCAAAACAATTGTGTGACGTTAGTATCGTATAAAATAATCATGGGGCTTGGTCGGTTGTATTGGCTGTAGTTGGCTTCTTGCCTACAGAACATCTGACTTCAAATGAAAGTGTTAACTAAGGTTTTCATAGATCCCCAAATTTCTGGACAATGCGTGTTTATTATTATTTTATACTTGGGTACGTATGGGTTGTTATGGGCATAGTTCAATTAACTTACAGTAGGTGGCACGCGTATAGTACCGACACATTTGTAAGTTATATATCATTCAACATCAATGAATGCATTGTCATTCCTAATAATATAACTCTTCCCAATTTAAAACGACATTACCACAATTATTTCTTCTGCGGCAGCAACGCGCCGGGTACCAGCTGGTTACTTATATTTGCTTATCATGGACAGATAAGGATGGTACATAATTCTTAAAACATAACATGTTTTGTTATGTGATTGTAAATAGCATATAAATATACATAGATAGTACTACAAATGAAATTTTTCTAAACAAATCTAATCCAATACAACAGAATTATTTTAAAAATTTAAATTAAATAATTATAATATAATTATTTAATTAAATTTTTTTTTTAGATTCTTTTAGATTAATTAATTAAAAAAATATTAGTTACATTTAATAAATAGGTCCCTAATATCTAAAAATTGTTTTTCATTGTGATAAACCAATATTTTTTTCCTAAATAATTTATTAAGTGATTTTATGTTATTTGGTATTTTATTATAAATTCGAATACATACATACACCTAATAATACAAGTATGACCCTTTGCAACCGGGAGTTAAAAAATTCGCATACATTAGTAAGAACTTGGAATACGTTAGGAAACTGTTCAGGTGTCATGGAAAAATTACTGAAAAATATCACAAGGAAGCTGGTCTTCAGCAATCAGACCCTCACATACGTGAGGCTCAGGAATAATTTGCTAGTCGCACAATCGTGAGTGTATGTAAATAATTAATGATTTAGGTCATATAAATGAAATAATAAATTAAAATAAAATATGAATATGTATGTTTTCCTATTACTTTAATCAGTCTGTATTACAATTATATATAAAAATAAACTGTAATTATTTATAAAATCACGTATAACAAATGAGATCTTCTTAATTTCTATAATTGGAACAAAAATAAACTATAATTACTTCAACAATCAACAAGATCTTAGGTTTTACTTATTACAATCAATGAGAACGACTTATTATTGTATATGATAAGCCTTAAAACAATTTTTATCACGGGATAAGCATAAATACACATTACATTTATCGCACCTAATTTTTGAACAACTGATGCAGGTTTCCAATCTACAAGTCCTCAGCGCTTTTATGTCGTCGCTGGTGGGAAAATGCTCATACCCATCATATCGTTTTTCTGCTGACGGTCTATTTGCTGGTCTGTATATTTTGTAGTCGCGACGAGAAGATGATACCTGGTCATCATCTTCACTATCCCTTCGAGTTCTACTTGGTGTACAAGATAAGGCATCTGCCACATCCAAGCGGAAATCGAGTAAAGGCATCGTATCTTTCCTTGCATAATTGTTTCTATTGCAGTCGTTTCTATACAGCCTCCAAGAGTTTACGAGCGCGAGGTCAAAAAAGTGTGTTAACAATTTTAAGGTCCATTTTTTTGTTTTTATAAAAGTTCTATAACACTCCATCTGTTGATCCAGGACGTCAACTCCTCCCATGTGTTGATTATAATTTTTTACTATTTTTGGAGCAGTCACGTCAACGTACTGTCTAATGGTTTTATCCCACCTTTTAACAATAATCGTCTCGGCAGAGCCAGTACAGTTGTATGCAAGTAATACCGATTTATTATCTTTCCACTTTACTATTGTAACAGGTTCGCAAACAAAATGTTGGCTTTCACCACGAGTCATTTGTGAATCAATTTTAAATTTTATTGTAGCTCAGTCAGGGATACGATTTAACATTATTGTCCCAGTCGAATGCAGATTTAACTTGTTCATTTCTTCAATCAAAGGAACGGTGGTAAAATATCTACCGTGGTAAACGCAGCTACCTGGGGGAATACTTTTAGCTAGATGTAAGATTACCGAAGGACCCAGACCGAGATTCGTATCACCAAACATCGTCCTTGCACCCCTGTATAACTCAAAATCTAACATTAATCCTTCACTAGTTGTGAGGACGAAGTTTTTAATCCCCACAGGCCTAGGTTTGTTCTTCACTACCTGACGAAGTTGACAGCGGTCTGTAAACGGTATCATCTGCTCATCGATCGAGTAAAATGCCGGCACCCTTTCTAATTTACTACAGGCACCTTTAATTTGGTCGATCATAGGTTGAACCTTCCATAGTGGATTACCAGTTTCGGATGCAGATGGAGAATCTGAGTCAACTACGTGTAGTGAATTGCGAAGGGTAAAGAACCTGTCCCGTGAAATTAAACCACTGACAATTTCCAACCTAGTACCAGCCCTCCAATACATAGGCAGTCGGGGATAAGGAACACAACCCATGATTATTTGTATTGCAAGGAGCTTTGCAATCTCACTGCTTGTACTTTTCAATTCACGGCCCGTAGTACGTAAGTAAAATAAGTTAGTGCAGTGAGATATCCTTTCTATAAATTCGTTATCTATGTAGTCACGAAAGTAGTCGATAGGACGCCTTACTACTTTTTTAGGCAAGGGAAGATAGTTATGCAGTTTATCTACAAATGGAACTTGCTTCCATATTCTTTTCCTACCACTTGATGTTGATGCCGATCTATTCCCTTGAGAACATGGTGTTGACACTGATTTTCTTCCCCGAGTACTGGTGGTTGATCTCGATCGCTCAGAGGATAATTATACTGACCTTTCTCGATAACGACGCGACGTGGATGATAATGATGGGCAAGACGGTTACATTGTTGATGTAGACTGCGTCCTTGGTGGAGGAGGATGTTGCGTCATTATTGAAGCAGGAGGTTGCGGTGTCGATGTAGATGGAGGTTGCACCACCAGAGGACACTTCAATTCTGAGATTTGGTGGCTTGTTTCTTCATCTGCATTAGGATTGTCACCATCGAAGAGATTTTCGCCAGCCAATTGATCAAATAGGGTATTTAGGTTCAAATTCCAAGTCGTCATCATCAAAATTTTCAATCTCCGATAGGTTTCCGTTCATCAATTGGTCTAATATTACATCATCCGTAATTGGAATCCCTAATAAAGAAGAAAAGGCCATTTAAACACTGTATAGGATCAAAATAACAAAATGTAACAACATCACGTGCTACGACCGATGTTGCATGATCGTGCGTGTTCAATTTTGACAGAAAATAATTACAAAACTAATGCTTCAATTTGCAAAAACTTGATAAGTAAACCTACGGGAACTCATATCTAATCAAATAGCATCAAATAATATGAAATATTCCAATACAATTACTAAAAATCGATCTACTTACGTGCGGTGGCACCGGGATTAAAAAAACGCAGCCATCCCTCATGCGGCTTTCGATGATGTGGCAGGACGAAACGCGCGCGCAGAGACTAAAACTATTTTTTGTCTCATTTTTATGTAGACTCACGATAGATCGACGCCGATTGCGTCCGCTTAAGTTGTTTATATTGTTCTTTAGAATTTTGTAAAGTCGAAACTCACGATCAGTTTAACTCGGGTGGAAAGGGATGATGATATCTATTTAAGTGAGTCTTAGTATTACCAAATCTATTGAACTCGTGATTATTTTTATAAAATAATTTAAAAATTGATACTCGACTGTAAAATATTTTAAATACCTACATAAATCCATGTTCCATTTTTATAAGAGGAAGCAGCAGTGCTGATAATGATTACAGTGATGACGACTCAGACAGCGACGCAGAGATGGGCGAAATTAAAACGCTAGATTTAGATTAACACTTTCTCGTTCATGGTTCTTTTGTAAATAAATATTATTTCAAAAATACCTGTTTTGTTCACGCTGCCTAACTGGTTTGAATTGACAGTTATGAAGTGACAACATGGCGCCAGGTAAGTATAATTCTTATTTGGATCAAATTACATAAGAGCCCATAAGAGTCCACTGTTGAACATAGGCCATTCGCATAGATTACATCATATAGGGGATATTTGCCATAGTTGGCACGCTTGGCAAGCGGTTTCCTTCTGTCTCTTCCTCGTTGCCTCGACATGGGACAGTGAATATTCTCAGACACATGGTAATATTTTGACACGCTGTCATTAGTTTTGCGTGTATCTTTTTATAATTACAACGGAATATTTTAATGTTATTTTCACCAACTTACAGACGGCCGATTGACTTTTTGAAAATTTCCAATGACATGTACCGATGACAATACAATATTTTAATAATTATGAACCAGTGTTCTCACTAGGATTATCATAGCTCATGACGAATGCGTGTTGTTAAGTTTTCTTAGCCTCTCAATATTATTTAATTACAAAACGCTTTCACTAACTTCGCGTGTAATTTTCAACCGACTTCAAAAAAGAGACGGTACTCAATTCGACTCTATACTTTTTTCTGGGTGAACCGATTTCGATGATTCTTTTTTTTTTTTTGAAAGCTGGTGCTCCTCACGTGGTCCCATATAAATTTGATCTAGGTCTGACCAAAATAGTTTTTGAGTTATTCTTAATAATTTATATTGAAGTCGGTTGTACAACATTTTTAATATTAAATTGTTATAGAATATAAAGGGTAACAAACGAACACACAGTCCACCTGATGGTAAGTGGATACTGTAGTCCATAGACATGTACATTAATACTTAATTAAGAATTAAAATGCAGATGCGTTGTCACCCCTAAGGACTAAGATGGAATGCCTCGTTTCCAGTAGAAAGGGTCTCCGGGTGTCTACACTCACCATACGAAACACAGCAGCATTCAGCTGCTAAATAACGATGGTGTTCTGTGAGAGCATGCTCCCTACCCCTGTCCGACCTATTCACGCTACAACCATAATATATCTGCAGCTGAATATCAACAATATCAACAGCGTGGCACGAGAAAAAAAACAATAGAAAAAAATGATTCTCAAGTGGCAGCTTTGCACCGGTAAGTGGAGTTTAGTGGTAGGTCTTTACTATATGTAAACTATGCAGGAAGTTGATGAAGGCAGAAGAAAAGTGTTCGTGAATGCTCAGAAGGGCATTAGTGATAATGATGCTGTTATGATCATTGATAGTGACGACAACGATGATGACGTAGAGGACGATTACTCAATCACTCAAGTAATTGAAGTGAGTAATTGAATCAGACGATGACGAGCATGGCGATGATCATGACGATTATCATTATTATAATCATGACTCCCCATCTGACTAGTGTCCGCGAGCTATATCCGATAATCGGTTCTTAAGTGGTAAACTCGAATAAAAAATACATACATTTTTCTATTTTATTAAGCAGTCAAATAAATGCCACCAAAAACATAACTTGTAAAAAAAGCCAAGTCTCGCAACTAAGTTCTTCTACCGTAAAAAGTTGTGAGATAAGGGTCTTTCTGTGTTAAGTTATTACGTAATTAGCTAATCTAAAAACATCTTATAGTGACCACATCAATACTAAAAATCTTTTATATTTTAAATAAATAGAATGACTTTGCCATCGCATGTAAACACAATGTATCATTATACAATGTATCTCTCAAGTAATACATATTATATTAAATTCGATTGTTTAGTGCGATTGCCAAGTCAATTCATTTATTTAAAACACAAAAGATTTTTGATAATGATATGGTCACTGTAAGATGCTGTTAGGTTAGCTAATTAGGTAATAACTTAACGCAGAAGAACACTCAAGTAGGGACTGAATAAATTAACCGACTTGGTATTACACGTATCTCACAACTTTTTACAGTAGAAGAACTGAGTTGCGAGACTTGGCTTTTTTTACAAGTTATGTTTTTGATTTCTTTTTGTAGATAGTTATATCTAGGTACCTATCTACACCTATTATTCCATTATATTATACATATATAGGTACACTGATTCATTTACTGCAAATCATCATCATTATCATCATTACAGCCCTTCACAAGTCCACTGCTGAACATAGGCCTCCCCCATAGAATGCCACAAAGCACGGTCCTGAGCCACCTGCATCCATCGACTTCCTGCATGTCTTACCAGGTCGTCACTCCATCTCGTGGGGGGACGCCCTACACTTCGCCTGCCGGTACGAGGCTGCCACTCGAGAACCTTTCTTCCCCATCGGTTGTCGGTTCTTCGAGCTATATGGCCGACCCATTGCCACTTCAGCTTACTAATTCGTTGGGCTATGTCGGTCACTCTGGTTCTACTGCGGATATCCTCATTTCTGAGTTTATCACGCAGAGAAACTCCGAGCATAGCCCTCTCCATAGCTCGCTGAGCGACCTTGAGCTTCCTCATCCGGCCAGCAGTGAAGGACCACGTCTCAGTTCCGTATGTCATCACTGGCAACACGCACTGGGTGTACAGTCTCTTTTTCAAGTTTTGAGGTATACCTGACGAGAAGATGTGCCGTAATTTCCCAAACGCTGCCCAACCGAGTTGAATCCGTCGATTGCCCTCTCGGTCGAAGTTGGACTTACCTAGTCGGACTATATTTGTCCCAGGTAAACATACTCGTCAACAACTTCGAGCTTAGTGTTCCCAACAACTACCGGCATAGGTGTGACATGGACATTAAACATGATCTTTGTTTTGTCCATGTTCATCTTAAGACCTATCCGTTGGGAAACACTATTAAGGTCATTGAGCATAGTGCTTAGGTCCTCCAGCGATTCTGCCATAAAGACTATATCGTCGGCAAATCGAAGGTGAGTGATGTACTCGCCATTGATGTTGATACCGTATCCTTTCCAGTCCAGAAACTTGAAAACATCTTCCAATGCAGCGATAAAGAGTTTCGG